TATATATAATTAAAATTATATTAAAATAAAATAATAACGATTTGAAATCTTGAAAAACTCATACGTGGAATACGAGTAATAGCGGTAACCTCAACAATCAAATAGGACATCGAAGGAAAAAACACAAAGAAACTCGAAAGATTAATTAACTTTGTTATCACAATCTTTAATATAGTCTATAAATTCCACGATAAAGTGAAGAATAAATAGAATTAAGTACTTACTGCGTAATTGAGATCACTCACACCGGCAATACGTCTCGTTTCGATGATTTTCGGCAGAAATATGACGCCATGCATTACAGGTTTTCTTACAAGCTTTCTGATTGGTTAAAACAATGCGAACCTATTTACTTAATCGCGCGAAAATTAAAATATTGTATAATACAACATTAATTATAATTTCCTATACATTGAATTTCTACGAAGATCCGTTTCTGAAAAATATAATAAGAATTAAATACGAAAATTAATTTAACATAAAAAAATTAAAAATGTAATAAAAGAATTTAAGAAATTAAATAAATATATAAAAATATGTAAATAAAAAAAAAGAAAATACAAAAGCTCATTAAATTAGGGAATCCTGAAACATAGAAAAATGAATTAATGCGTAGTTTTTAGCTTGGCATCTTTTCCGAAAAAAATTATTAATAAAAATTATTGAATCTTTCTAATAAAACATTTTTCATTGTACTCTTTTTAAAAGAAAATTTTGAAAAAGAAAATTTTGGAAAACGATGCCAATTACCAGGTCTCACCAACGAGGAGGTGACTACGCATCGAGACCCACCTAAAGCTAAATAATAAAAACAAAACAATAAAATTAACGATATAAATAAATTAGAAACATATAAAACATATAAAATATAAATTAAACATAAAATATAAATAACAAGTATTAATTAAATTAAAAAATATATACAAAACAAGAAAAAATAACATGCAAAAATTAAATAAATCTGAAACAAAATAAATAAATTAATGTACAATTATTTTTACAACGATCTTTACAAAAGTTTTTTACATTCATCGCAATTTATCGCTCGCTTACTTAACTTATAATATTACTTATATCTATCTTAATTTACACCTTAATATTAAATCTTAAATCTATAGCATTGCAACAAAAATACTCTCATACAACTTAAAGCGAAGAAAATACAATTATAACTAATTATTTATTTATTTCAAATAAAATTTAAACAATGCTCAATGAAAGAAAATCCAAAAAATACTAATATTTAAAAACGAAGCAAACAAATGCAAGAACATCGAAGAATATCGTAAAATACGATGATCGATAAAAATGAAGAAGAAATTGGAAAAAAAAAAAATCACTGCCACCCTCGCATCACGACTTACATCACTGGACTTACAAAATCAAGCCAGACGAATGATATTTGCCAGTGTGGTCAGTAGAGGGTTACGGCGGCGACCTAACAACCGAACGCTACGTCCCAACGACACAGGAAGGAGCATAGAGTTGCAAACTCTAGACCACCGGAGCCGGATTACAAAGACGACGTTCGACCACCAGGCCTAACTCTGATCGAGCACTCGAAAGTACCAATCGAACAGAGCGCAGACCTTCGACTGGCCACCGGAAATAGAGCACCCGCCCAACGACTTCTGCCACTGTTGCGCGACACGTGGTTGACGGTGACTGAAAAGAAGATGAGAAATAACTAACTCGTAAAAATAACGTAAGAGATAATGAAGAAGACAATAGCAATGAAAAAGAAATAAGAAATAAACGTAATACATAAAACGTAAAATAAGAAAATAAAAAATAAGTGAAAATGAAGATGAACAAATAATGAAAAGGAAGGCTCAAGGTATCGAGATTTATTTTAAAAAAAAAAAAAAAAAAAATTGAAACTTTTATTCTTCGCTTTAAGTTAAAGAGTGTATTTTTGTTCGAATTCGCGCTCGCGATTAACTTAAACTCTATCTTACGATCTACTTAAGATTAATACGCGCGCATCCCACGACGATCCCACGACGATCCCACGATGCCCCCGCGGGGGGGTCTAATAAAGTGGTATCTGCAGTGCAGTCCAGACTCGACCAAAAAATATCCGAAGTAAAATTTGGACGAGTCTGGCCTGGGCTGCAGATACTGCATAGTTCTTGGCTCGGTATCGAATTTTAGAAAAATTTATCTTTGGAAAATTTTCGTATAGGAAATTTTTCAAAGATTAATCCAACGAAAAAATCGATACCAATTACCGGGTCTCACCACGAGGAGGTGACTATGCATCGAGACCCATTTAAAGCTAAATAAAAGTTAAATAAAAAATAAATAAAATTAAATAAATTATAATAAATGTTATAGTGATATAATAGTAGTGAAAATTGAGATTTTTAATAAAAAAGAAGTTGAAGTTTTTAAAATCTAATGATACTATACGAATAGAAGAAGAAAAATAGAATAATAGATAGTTACCTGTTGGAGTGATGGACGATCGTCTTGTCCTCTTGAGAGAAGCACTGATTCTAATTTCGCGTTATCCGTTTAAGGATTTAAAAAAACTTTGAAGCAAACACTGACTCTACTGACCGCATTGCGCGCGGCCACAAAAATTTGCTGAAAGTAAAATTGTATTAATGGAGAGGGATGGAGTAGAAAAAGAAGTAAAATTTCGAAAGAATTTTATTTTTTTTTCTATCGAGCATTCGTTAAAAAAAAAAAATATTTTTCTAAGATTATTAATCATCAATAAATGAATTAATAAATATAAGAATAAGAAGAAACATAAATAAAAGTATGAAAAATAAATGATAAAGTAAATGAATAAGGAAATAAAGAAATAAATTAAAAAATAAAATAAAAATAAACGAAGACATAAATAAGCGTGAAAAGTAAACAATAAAGTAAATGAATAACGAAATAAATTAAAAAATAAAATAAAAATAAACGAAGACATAAATAAATATGAAGAATAAACGGTAAAATAAATGAATAACGAAATAATTAAAAAAATAAAATAAAAATAAACGAAGACATAAATAAATACAAAGATAAAAAAAAATAAAATAAAAAATAAAATAAAAATAAACGAAGACATAAATAAATATGAAGAATGAATGATAAAGTAAATAAATAACGAAATAAATTAAAAAATAAAATAAAAATAAATGAAGACATAAATAAACGAAGAATAAACGATAAAGTAAATGAATAATAACGAAATAAATTAAAAAATAAAATTAAAATAAGCGAAGTCATAAATAAATGTAAAAAGTAAATGATAAAATAAATGAATAAGGAAATAATAAAATAAATTAAAAAATAAAAAAAATAAAAAAGGAAGACATAAATAAATGAAAAATAAAGTATGTGAAAAACGAAATAGAAAAATAAATTAATGAATGTGTAAAAAGTAACGAAGTAATAAAATAAAAAAATAAAAAAATAAAAAAGAAAAATTTGAAAATTGAAAATAAAAATGTAAATGAATAATTAAAAATTAAAAAATAAAAATAAAAATTAAAAAATAAAAATAAAATAAATAAACGAGTTAATAAATTAATAAATAATTAAATAAACAAATATATTAAATGTTAATTGACTAAATGTTAAAAAAATATTCCCTATTTTATTAAAAATTATTCAAAATTATAATATCGATCGATAGATTAGTTCGAAGGCAAATGACCTGCTCGCTGTGCTGTGCCTTATATTTATATCCTCGCTACGGTTACGAAATTTAACGACGCCGTCCGATCTTTATCGATTACATTAAAAATGATTTTTTGAATACTGTGATCAATAATTTGAGAATTTTTTAAATGTTTACTTTTAATTAAGGAATTTAACAATTTATTACAATGATAAATATAATAATTAATACATTTTTACTAATTAAAATTAGATTTATAATTTTTATAATATTAATTTTCGATTTATGTCGGTATTAAAATATTCCAAGTTTTATTTTAAACTTTAAATATTTTATATTTAAATATATTCGATTGTTGGCTAATGTAATTTTTTAATAAAGTTTCAAAAAAACCTTATATTCATACTTTCGCTCAAAAGTCTTAAGATTTAAAATAATTACATTTAATTTTTATAATATTGTATTTTATTAAAATAGAAAAGTATATTTATATTTCTATAGTTAATAATTTTCGTTTTATTGTATTAAAATATCTGTATTAAAATATTTTATTTAATATTTTAAAGTTTAAATATTTTTTTATTTTAATTTTATTTTTTAATTTATTTCGTTATTCATTTATTTTATCGTTTATTTTTCGTATTTATTTATGTCTTCATTTATTTTTATTTTATTTTTTAATTTATTTCGTTTATTTATTTAAATATAATTCGATTTTTAATAATTTTTTAATAAAATTTCAATAAAGATTTATATTTTGTGATAACAAGAATCGTAGAATTACTACTTTATTTCAAATAAAGAAATATTTTTTATTAAAACCATCAATGTATCGAACTAATATTTATTAATAATTTATTAATGTTTTTTTCAATCTTTAAGCAAATATTTTAAACAAATATTTTTTATAGAGAATGAAATTAGAAAAAAATAATAAAATATTAAAATTAAACTATTTCTTATTTGTTATTTGAATTTCTCCAAATCCAAAAAAGTTAAAATATGATTGAACTGTTGTCAATAACAATGTACATCGATTTTCAAATAAAGAAATATTTTTTATTAAAATCATCAATGTAATATATTATGAATTAATATTTATTAATAATTTATTAATGTTTTTTTCAATCTTTAAGCAAATATTTTAAACAAATATTTTTTATAGAGAATGAAATTAGAAAAAAATAATAAAATATTAAAATTAAACTATTTCTTATTTGTTATTTGAATTTCTCCAAATCCAAAAAAGTTAAAATATGATTGAACCGTTGTCAATAACAATATAAATTGATTTTCCTCGGTTTTGTTATTGCATAATTGTAATTAATATTTGATCTATAAGTTACATAATCAAAGATGTCTTCTCTTGTTTCAGGCTGCGGAGGGTTTTGTCTTCGTGGTGGGCTGTGATCGTGGAAGAATTCTTTACGTATCCGAGTCTGTTTTACAGACACTCAACTATTCTCAGGTATCCAATCTCTGCTTATTTTCATAATAAAATAGGGTAAAATTTTTGATCGAAAATCTAAAAAACAAAAATAATATAATAGTTAATAAAATATAAATAATTTCTTTAATATGAATTTGATATATTTAATTATTTTATATTTTTTTTCACGAATTAATTCTTTTTTTATTTTTTTTCTAATCAAAAAATTATAAATTTTTTATATATTTTTTAAAATTATACAATTTTTATGTACAGGGTGACCTGTTGGGTCAAAGTTGGTTCGATATCCTGCATCCAAAAGATGTAGCCAAGGTAAAGGAACAATTGTCCTCTTCGGATCTTAGTCCACGTGAACGATTAATAGATGCCAAAAGTACGTATCAATATTACACAATATTATACAACAGCATTATATATATATATATATATATTAAATATAACATTATGTATTTTAAAAAACGATAAAGAAAATGCCATTAAAGTCATTTTTGATTCATCTTGATATCTCAATCGGTTGCCGAGTTATAAACACTTAAAGTGGTCATAAAGTTTAAATAGAAATTAAACAGAAATTATGAATGGTTTACTGACCTATATTTTTCCTTGGAATTGTGTATATCCTTCCAGGAAACGTCTATTTGTTATTTATCTATCTAGAACTTGAGATAAATCAGTGAAAATAAATACAAAAGAGAAATCCGAATAAACGAGAAGAACGAAGATAATAAAGTATTAAAAATTACCTTTTTCTTTACACGATGATATCTCGGGAAGCAAAAGTCACATCGAGACAAACGATAAACCATTTTAAAGAGCAAGATTTCAAGCTTCTAATGCTCTTCGATTCGTCGATCGGAAATTATTATCTTCAGAATTACAACGGTTTAAAATTTTCCTAATTTTTAATCAAACTTTAAGTTGAATTATAACATATATCTATTTCGTGAAAATTATTACTTATAATAATCTTATTAACATCGAGAATTCTAAATTAAAAATTTATCTTAACACTTTCAATTTTCAAATAAGTTACATTTTGCAATTATGCATTATAATTAATCGTAGGAGATTTATATATATTCGTTTATAGAAAAAAAGCTTCTTATTATCTTACCTGAAATAAATCATTGGACAGAATGATTTCTGTCTGTCGGTGAACATTTTCAAATTAATGTCATTATGAAAGAGACTCGTGCTAAGAGTCTCTTAAGAAGACAATACTCATTATGCGTGTAGCCAGGATCTCCAAGATGTTACGCTACTACGATCAAGTCCTGCGTGTCGTTAATCATCGACACTTGTTGCGTCGGAATTAATAAACCAGACGATCGGAGTCAGGAAAACGATCGCTGACACTTCTGATGGCCGATTGATCAAACGTCGAACCGCCATTGTAACAATAACGGTGTACATACAAGAATGGCGGTAATTGCGAGATTTGTATTCGAAACGACATATTACTTAATGCCGACTATCCATTCTGATGGGGTTTCAAATAGAGTAATTGGCTAAAATTATGGATGTATCCCTGTTGTGAAATGATTAGGTTCGGATTATTGATGGGTAGCTGTAAGAATATATCGTCGTTGTTCTTAGTAGTTGCAGCCTCAGCAGAAATGTTAAGGTTGAGATTTTCAAATGGAGTCCGAGTTATAGAAGTGTCTTGGTTGAGCAATAAACATGGATGTGAATCATCGGCGAGAGATTCTGTAAAGCATATAAATAAATGAGAATTGCAGTTTCAGGTGAAATGTTAAAGTTGATATTTGTGTGATTTTTCAAATGAAGCGATTGGTTGAAATTATATATGTATATATATATATATATATATATATATATATGCTCGTTTCGTAACGTAATCTTGCAATGGTTTTGCTTTCGGCTAAGAATAAATTATCGTAAATAATTTTATGCTTTCATTCAAATTACGGTAGTCGTTTTATTTTATTCGTTTAACGCGATGTTAATCGAGAACTTTGCTACGTTTATTTGTAATTTATCTGTTGCTTCTGCGTAAAAATAAGACTCGAGAAAAAGCGATTGCATAAGTTTGTAAAGCATTAATCGCGTAACAAATTTCCACCAGATAAATGAAAAATATATTCATTGTATATCTGTAAGATGTTTATATATATATATATATATATTTGTAATTTAAAAAAAGACATGTTTGAATACTAAACTTAGTTAAATATTTATTTCTTTGATGTCTGTGACATATGATTTATTTAAATTCGTTTCTTTTTTTTTTTTTTTTTACGATTCACTTTTTATGAAAGATTTATTATTTTAAGCATAATATAAATTACTCGAATGGACGAATCAAAGAAATTTCTATGCAAAACGGGGGAATTAAATATAATTTATTGGCTTGTCTAACATTTTTTAAACAAGATTATTTTACTTATTTGCATTTACGATTCATTCGTAATTAACATAATTACACGAATTTGATTAAAGCAAGGATTATTTCTTTGAATGAAAAATTGAAATGAACGATAATCAAAGCGTTAACCCATAATATTAATTTAGAAAATATCATAAATGATTTAAAACTAATTTTATTTCTTTTAGTGTATAATGAAATCACAATTTCATTAATTTTAATTGAAAAATAAAACGACTAAGTTTACTAATATTTTTTTTTATAATTTGAATATTACTTTATATTAATTCTTTTATTTATCAATTTATCGTCAAATCGTCAATTCATTCGAAAAATTTTATAAAAAAAATCTCTTGTTTTATAAAAAGGATAAAATATTGGAATTAGTACGTGCCTATCGAGTCTTCGAGCCGCCTTTTATACTTCTTCTATCTGTCAAGGCCGATTTGACTGCAAATATGCGATACGCGCCATGCACGCGTGCATTTCTCTTCCAGGAAATTATGCGAAAAACTTTTTGATATTCGCACGCATCGATACCTATACACAAGTAGAAATAAGAAACGAGAACTTGGCGAATTTTCTTATAAATATAAGAAAATTCCTTTCTTATAAAATGTTTATTAAATATGGAATAATAATAATAATAAAAGCTAAAATATTATTTAATTTATTTAATTTTAACTCGATAAATTGCAAAATTGGAAAATGTAATTTCTTCTGGATATAAATTTCTATAATAATTTTAGATAAATAAAATTCACACAACTAGAAATAAGAAATGAGAACTTGGCGAATTTTCTTATAAATATAAAATGTTTATTAAATATGGAATAATAATAATAAAAGCTAAAATATTATTTAATTTTAACTCGATAAATTGCAAAATTGGAAAATGTAATTTCTTCTGGATATAAATTTCTATAATAATCTTTAGATAAATAAAACTCACACTATTCCGTAGAATATTATTTATGATTTATTCCATAGAATTTTCTAAATAATTTTTAGAAAAATAAAATATAAATTAAGAATAATGATACATTATGTTAAATAATTGAAGTACGTTTAACGTTGTTACAGCAATGTTACCTGTAAAAACGGATGTGCCCCAAGGTGTATCGAGATTGTGCCCTGGTGCACGGAGATCTTTTTTCTGCAGAATGAAGCGAAAGGTCGAAGGGATACGTTGCAGTGAGTTACAAGTGAAGGAGGAATCCGAGTCGGCAAGCGGATGTCATCGACGAAAAAAACAACAAAACGTTGGTAAGTATTCGTTTATAAAATTTGAAATAATAAATTTTTTTTATTCTAAATAATTAATTATTATATTATAAATAAAAAATTAAATAAACTTTATTTTTAAGAGCGATAATAAAATTTATAAAAAATACCTCTAATGGAAATTTATGTTGATACATGACTATTATAAATAAGTAGAACGCATTCAATGTACAGTCACTCCAACTCTTTTACATGAGGTTTGAAATCTTCAGCTCGAATATTTTCCGGTTCACTTGTCAAAGATGAATGGTGGATACTATTTCAAAGAGAATCGTTTTATACATGTAAAATGTTGTAGTATGTTAAATATATCTGAAAATATATAAAAATATATATAAATATATTCATATATATCTGAAAATAGATTCCAAATAATTATTAAATTATTCCAGTTGCACACTGTTATTAAAATTTAAGAATTGAATGATTTGTCTATCTTGAAAATAATCAAAAGATTATAAATAATATTATTCATGTTGAAGACTTAAATCATCAAGATGATTGCAGAATTTTAAAAAAATTCAACTTCTTAGATAATATAGTTAACCTTACACAATTTTAGGTTTATGTTGATTTTATCAAACTGATAACATTATTGAATATTTTTTTCAGATTGGAAGTACTGTGTAATTCAATGTACTGGATATTTAAAGTCGTGGGCGCCCGCAAAAATCGACCTCGAAGAACATGAAGGTGATGGAGACGGAGAGGCTTGCAATTTATCGTGTTTGGTAGCAGTTGGTCGGTTACAATCCACAATTCCGACATCTTTACCTAAGAAGCCTCGTTTGAGATCCATCAAGTTCGTTTCGCGACATGCGATGGATGGTAAATTCCTCTTCGTCGACCAAAGGTTAATAAATTCTAATCATTTTCTTAATTATTTAATTTATATAATTTTCAACATATGTCTCTCATGAGCCATATTAATGAATACAATTTTTAAAAAGAAAATATTAAAATAATTAATTTTTGTATAAAATAATTGATACACACTTGATGCAATATATATTTTTGATATGTATTTCTCTTAAAATTTATCTCAGAAATCATTAATCAATTCTTTTTGATCAACTTCTGGAACAACAATCAAATATTTGTTTATAATTCTATATTCTTCATGTTAAAATTACATAACAGTAATAAATGATAATAAATTTAAATAAATCTTGATGATAAATAAAAAGTATTTACAGGGCTACGTTAGTGTTAGGTTTCCTACCACAAGAGCTACTTGGAACGAGCATGTACGAATATTATCACCACGATGATATCCCTCATTTGGCAGAATCTCATAAAGCTGCTCTTCAAGCATCTGAGAGTGTCACCACACAGGTAAGTTACCATATTACTCATTGACACTATTTTGCAATGATAATGATTATCATTTTAAATTTTAATTCCCGCTATTCTATTAATTCAGTCAATGTTGTTTCCACTGTACATGCATTTTCAATTTATTACTGTTGAATTGTTTATTCTTGCATTTTCTGAAAATGTTTCCAATTTTTAATGAGAAAGTATATTTAATATTGTAATATTTAAAAGTGTTAGATATTATTGTAATTAAGTATTATATTTGTATATTAAAATAGACTTTCAATTGATTAATAATTTAAAATTTTTATATATATATATATATAGATATAAATTTATTATATTATTATTTATTATATTATTTATATTATTACATAAATTTATTATATTTATTATATAGATATAAATTTTTATATATATAAAAATTTTATGAAAGAAATTTCTGTACAGATATACAGGTTTAGGACTAAAGGTGCAAGCTTTGTGAAGCTTCAATCCGAATGGAAATCTTTCAGAAATCCATGGACCAAAGATATCGAGTACCTAATAGCTAAGAACTCTGTCACTTCGTAAGTTTCGATAATATTTTCTCTTTTAATTAACATCTATATCAAATACAAATATATAAAATAATACCTTTTACTTAATGAAAATGATTGTGTATTCAGCAATGACTCCCGATCGAACACAAATAGTGGGAACAGATCTGAGGATTCCAGTGTTCAAGGCAATTACGACTACTTTGCACAAAGTGAGTGAAATATACGTTTGATATAATTTGCGTGATTCATAATTATATTTAATTTAATTAAACTCGTTTTATTTCACACGTTGAAAAATAATTGTAGGTAACGGCGGATTAGAAAGATTGATCTCGAGTCACGTAGAGGTAAGTAAAATTGGACGACAAATAGCTGAAGAAGTTCTGGATCTTCAAAGACGCGGTGAGGATTCTTCTTCCGGTAGTAGTCCTGGACCGGAATCTGCTTTATTAAATACGGAGGTAGTTATAACCATAGAAATCCAGTTAAAATTCTTGATTTCCTTTGAGATATGAAACAAACAATTTATTCGTTATTATATTTTTAAATTCAATGATCTTTATCGCGTTTAATATTAATTTTTATATAATTTTTATATCATTTCAATAATCATTTCAATAATCATTATCTCTTAAATTATTAAGATCGAAATTATAATATTACAATAAGTAATATTTCAATGGTAATAATATATTCTTAAAAACTAATTTTTCAATTAAAGAATTATCAGTTTGATATCTTTTAATATTACATTTTTATCATCATGAATATTCGAGGATTAAATAAAGGATTAAATAAAAAAAGGATTAAATAAAATATTTTAAGTAGCTTATAGATATTGAAAACTATTAAATTATTGATGATAGTTTTCTATTTAATTTATACTTTTTTCCCTTATAAGTCACAAATCACTACAACTGCATCGCCGGAGAGGGTGCAGGATGTGGCACAGTCAACCAGAGGCAGCAACAACAGCAGCAGTAATCCTACACCAACGTACAACCACATTGCAAACAACTTGCAGCTGAACAGCATCGCGAACGACCAAGGTCATAGCTATTACTGTCTCTAAGGAGTCGTTTTCTTGGTGTGTAGTGTGATTGCCGGATTTACCAAAAAAGATTAGGTCGCTCAGAGAAAAAAGATGATCAAGCTTTCGCTTGATCGATCGATTTTAAACGCGAAACTATTGTTTTCTTTGAACGAAATTGGGCGAAGGAAGTTCGTTCTGATATTTAATTCAAAATCTCGATAGATAATAATATTTATAATGTCTTTATGAAAGTAAATTAATTTCATTGTAATACAATTTTATTTCTTTTTTTTTCTCTTTTATATATCTCATCTCAAAACATCTCATTACATGGACTATTCATTATGAAAATGATGTAAGTCCTAGAAAAAAATTTGAAAAAATAAATAATTTATATAAAATCATTTTAATATTTTTGAAAAAAAATTGAAAAAACTAACCGTTAAATATCTATAATACAAAAAGAATACACTTACAGCACTTTTTAAATAAATGGTCCATATAAATAGTATATATATGGAATAGTATATGATCAACTTCAATAATTTTTCAAAGGTTCGAACATCCAGCAATCAAGCCCGTAATACAATTCTTTTTTCCTTTTTAGCATAACGTTATAATTCTAATAATAGCGTTCACAGCAACACCGCGCGGACATTTTTGAATTGATCGTTGCGTATAACATAACATCCACCCCCTTTTAGGAGCGTCACCAGACGAAGGACACGAAACTACTTTTTTAACTAAGGATGTGATGGATATGATTGGTGGTACCACGATTAACGAATCGCCAAATCCAGTGCCATCTGATGGTAACGACGAGGCAGCAATGGCAGTGATAATGAGCCTTCTAGAGGCAGATGCAGGTTTAGGTGGTCCTGTGGACTTTTCTGGCTTACCTTGGCCGCTTCCATAGTATAATTCCCTCTATTCGTGTGAACTGAAATTTCAAGTGTCGAAAATAACTTATGCCTAAATGGAAGTTAGAAGTGTGTGTACATAATAGTATCAAGTGTGTGGACCAAGTTGACGTTCTTTTGATTTTTCTTGTTTTTGTTCTCATTGTGCTTGAGTACTTTATCAATCTTCAATTGTGTCTATGTTCCAATTTAATGGAAAGTAGTGCACGAACGTCACCACGAATCGTTTTTCATTTGTTTTGAAGCAGTTGAAATATTCTTGGTGCTGAGATGGTGCTGCTTTAAGGAATACATAAATCGTTGAACATTTTAGTTTTATAGACATATCATTTCTGTGATCAAAAATGGAATATCAAACGTACAGAATGATTAATATATACATACGTAAATTGAAATGAACATCTATGTTCATTTTTATAGAGAATATATAAATTGAGACTGATCCAAAATTATTTTTTGGTAGCAGTCGACGAGAGATGAGGCATCGTAAATAATGATGATAATTCAGAATAATTCGTAAATAGAATTATAATTCCCTCTGAAAATGAAATCAATATTTTTTTAATATCAGTCGATCGTTAAGTGATTTCCTTTCATAATTTGTAATTAAACGTATGCTGTTTTACGTTTTTGTACAAAATTAAATACGATTTAAATATTGTAATAAATTAATTTTTATCATAATATCTTAGTCTGATTTATTACTAATTAAATAGTTATTTAGAAATGTCAATTTCGAATTTTCGCTCAAGAGTTTCGCGCGATAATATTAGGTCTCCTACCTCAATTTGTATTTTATTGTAATGTATCAATCTACTTCCGCTTATCTTTCATTTTCAATAAAAAAAAATACACAAAATCATTCGGTAATTCTAGATTTCATCGAGACTATGAAAATAATTATTGCAAAATTAATCTATTTTAACACCTTAATAATCAAATTTTCTGTATAAATAAATTCCACAACATTTTTTTAAAATTTATGGATAAAATTATTTTCAATTTATTTATACATATTATTTATACATCATTCTATGAAAAGAAAAAAATAACTGTAATGAAATCTACAATGAAATTATTATGAATTTATTTAAAAAAAAATATCTAATATTTTTAAATAAAATAATATTTCACATAGTTTCGAAGACATTTAGAAAAAAATAAATACCATACATCGATAATTGCTTCAAAGAAACAATTACATAAATATTTATATGTATATAGCATATTCATTGCACACTGTCCGTTTCGTAAGACGAGGATTTAGGTTAACTGTACATACATGTATGTCGAGATCTTTTTCACAGTAATCAATATAAATGTTTTGTCACTAGATGCAAATCAACAGATCATCTTACAATTATCGACCGCATCGTAAAAAATGTTTTATTAAATAGTTTCCGGCAAATATATCGAGGAACGAATCAAGAGTGAGGATCGAAGTTCCTGTTCGTTATTTAGCGACAAATTATTGTTGCCTGTAAATATGTATTCTTACAGAACACGTGATATATGATATATAGTGTACCTAATTAAATTATAAGAAACCATAAAACAATATCGAATGTTTCATAAGTTGTGAACAATATTTATCACGAGTAAATAATTCTTCATATTTTTTTATATATCATAAATATATTGTTTTTAGGAAATGTTTTTACAACAATTAAATAAAATATAATGATAATTAAAAATCCATCAACGTAAAAATTTAAAAATTTTACTATTTACAAGCACGATAAAATCGAATGAAAATTCAATATTCAATTTGATATTTATTATAATAAGTACAAAAAGTATTTTTATTTTGAAAACTAAGTTTACATTTTCTATAAACAAAATTTCATATCAATATAATTTTTTTTTCATAAATAATCGTACTATTTCTTATATCTTTGCTATAAAATAGACAGAAAAAAATATGATAAATTATGATGAAATTATTTTACGATGCAGTTAAGTGAATCGATCGAATAAAAATCATGAGTTATATAATGTTATATATAAAAATAATGTACATAAAGCGTGTATATGTAAATAAATATATATCATACAATATATATATATATATAT